AGTCTCGGTTATTATTAACCCATACGGGCGGCACGCCTCACTTCCTGCCAGCTGCACTTCCTGCAGGTCGGGGTGGGTGTGGCCAGCGTCCACATGCCCCTCCTCCTGCTCGCCCATTGGCTCGCTCACCACCGTGAACTTTAACCTGTGCGATCACGAAGGGCGGGGCACGGAGAGGCAGACGCTATTGGTCAGAGCTCACATAGGAGGGGTTGCTGATTGGTCCGTCCCTCTGCTGAAGGGGCCGGTGTCAGTAAAGTGATCATTTACCACACCCAAGTGTATTTATTGGGGGTCACGGTGACACAGGGGTGAGCATTGCTTCCTCGCAGTGCTGGGGCCCCGGGTTCAACTCTGAACCTGGGGTGCGGTCTGTGTGGAGTCTGTATGTTCTGCCTGTGTTGGTCACCCCCACAGTCCAAAGACATCATGGTAGAGGAATTGGTCTTCCAGGAAAATCGGTCCTGGTGGAAACCGTAAGTGACGTAGTTCAGGTGGGGAGCTGCTTCAGCATACGTAGTCTGCAAAGGAACAAGTCAAGGTTTACTCCAGGCTGAAAAGAGAAGAAAGAAAAACACAACGTTTCAGCCGTGGAGCTTTCTCACAGGGAACAAACCTCTTACTTGAGTCTTTAGTGATTATTATTATCAGATTAGAAGATCAGTGCAGAAGCAGTACTGCCAGCCCTTGTACATGCAGTGGGATTATTATTATTATTATTATTATTATAGTGCTGTAACAGTTCTGTCTGCAGTACAGGACTTCTGTTTTAGAACGATGATCCCCAGTGATATTGGGGTGTCCCTCTCTTTCGAGGCAGGGCCCGACGGGGAGATTCTGGGGGTGCTGGATTTCTGGGTGAGGCTCTGGCCGCCCCTGGAGGGGGCAGAGGGGCCAAGGGACCCAGGGTACCTGTCCTACCACACGCTGGGCTGGCCGGACAGCGGGCCCCAGGTAACCCTGCTAGCGCTGGGTGGAGTGGTTTGACTGGTAATCAGCTCG